GTTGTTTACATCTTTAGCATTGGGCCTATCATGCACCATATAATATATTCTGATCAGGTGCTGAACAGCTCCATTCAGCATGTATTGGGTTGATAAGCTTCAATAATGCTTTGCCATACACAATTTTTCTCTTGAAGAATTATCTTTCCTTTCTTTCTCTGATATTTCTTTGGCAAATTTGCTACTGGACATATAATTTTTTTAGAATTGGCTAAGGTTGTGTTCTTTAGTTGAGGTTCTCAACTCACTTCCCTCATTTTTCACACGCATGCTTTCCAAACTGCTAAACGGTGTTTTTTTTTTCAAAAAATAATTCTATAGGAAAGTTATTTTGAAAAATCATATTAATTCTTTTTTTAGTTTTTTATAGCTAACACTTAATTAATCATGTGGTAATCCACCACTTTGTTTTCCGTGCGTATGTGAGAAGTTTCCAACATCTCATAACGAACACAGCCTAAGAGGCATTGCAATATCGTTTCACTACTAAGGGACACCACAAAAATCACATATAATTGGTTGGAGGATACTAGAGGGCATTGTTTTACCATTTATAGGGAAAAAGTGGAGAAAGAAATTTTAAAAGGACAAGATTGCCCCTGTTTGCTAGCCGCATCTAAATTGATGACATGGATAACTGGCTCTCAACCTTCCTCGTCGTAAACGGCTAACTTGTCATTATCTTCATCATTACACGATTTTTAGATGCCATGTTGTAAATTTTATCTACTTTTGCATGACACAACTATATATCTTCCACATCTAAAAATGATTCAACTGTTTGATATACTCCACAACAAATCCTGATCCATACTATATGTACATATACATGGTCCTTATCAGGGTTTACAATTCCGAGATGGCCTTTCGGGCTCTGGCGGAATGACGGTTTTCGCGAAATCGGGTGGAAAGCCGATAGATTCCAAACAAATTTCATAAACCAAAATTTGAATACAAATTCCCTAAGTTTACCTTTAAGCTCGCGAAAACCAGTCGGCTTTGGTGATATTCCGAGCGAAATCATCGAAATTTCAATCGGTAACTAGAAAAAGAGATAAACTAAAATTATTTTCCTTTTTTTAATTCGTTATTCTTTTGTTTTTTTACTGTAAATTTCAGTAAATTCACGGAATACATCATTTTATTTTTAAAATTTATATCCCAATAGGTTCTATGAATATCATACTATTTATAAGATTTTATTTGATTTTTTCCTTTTTTTTATCAATTCAAAATTGAATTTGGATGAAACTCATCGAAATCTCAGATGGCTTCTACTTTCGAGCCTCGTAGAAACCTCGAAATTTCACGGAATTCGACCGGTTTTCGTCGAAATTTGTAAACTCTGGTCCTTATGCATTCGACATAGGAAGAATAACTCAAGGTACAATTGGCAAATAATTGATGCAACTCATTCTACTATTCTGTCTGTACTGCCAACAAGAAATCAAGAAAAATGCACGCAGCATTCCACTAATTTGTTAGCCGTGAGACGTAGACTTGATTTGCTAGGGGAGCTAATATACAAGAAGGTCATATGTAATTAAGAAGAGAAGGAAAAGTGAGCCATGATACCTACCCCAAGCCCAAAAGAACCAATACCGAATACTTTTGCTTTCTGAATTTGTGAAATTAACCGTTGGGAAGACCAATCCGAAAGAAATAAAACGAATTGATGAAGTTGTCAAGTATTAATCCAGGAATAGACTAGAATATTAATGGCACCCAAACAAACACATGTAACATATGAAGTCAGGTTTAAGCTAGGTATCGGCACTTTTTCCCTCTTTTCTTTCATTAAAACATGTAGCACTTCTTCAAAGCTACTAGAATTCATTTCCCTTATATCAATCATAAAATGTTTGGAATGTGCTAATGAAGCTACCTCCTCCATTCACAAATTGGTGTCGTTTTACGATGCATGTACTCGAGTACCGAAATCTTAAATCACTAGTATACATAAAACTAATTTTATGTAATTTGAATGCATGGGTTGTGTACATATATTTTGAATGTAGAGACCGATTTAATCCATTTTAAAAAAAATGTAATTTGATTTTTTTTATTGTCTTATGCAAAGACCAAATAAAGCTATTCTTTTATTCATACTCCTTAAGATGGTAATGGACTAATGGTGCCCACCCACCCCATTGTAAATTCTGCAATTTACCCTTCGATCTTCTTAATATTAAAAAAAACAACCAAATCTAGATGGATGGTCACTTGTAAAACTATGTGCAACATGTTGATATTTTCTTTTACCAGTAGAAAAGCACGGGCATTAAGCTAGTCTAAAACTAATATATGTAAAAATATAATGATTTGGTACATAGAAATGGTATCAATAGATTTTTTATGAAAAAACATTAGTTATATTCTCACAAAAATTATGCATATATGATTAAATGCATGTGTACTAGGGACTGTGTTGATAACTTGATATCCTAAAGGAGAAAACAAAAAAGGATAGACTATAAACCAAGGAGAAAATTGTGATTTTGCTATCGCAAACGGATGGTTTCACTGGAATGCTATCCCTTCAAAGTGATTCATTGAAATGCTATCCTAAACTGAGGGGTGTTCACCAAAATATTATTTTTGGTCTTTTTGGTTAATACAAATGATTTTGCTCTATTTTAGTTTTTCTTCTGACCAAAATACCCTTCCCTCACCTACTCCTCCCCTTCCCCCTTCCCTTTCTCTGCACACATCGCCGCCTCAGTCTACTCGCGCCGTCGCCCTCGGCTCCGGCTCCGGCGCCAGCGCCGGCCCCCGACGCTCCCCCACGTGCTCCTCCCCCTCCTCCCTCTTTCGGCTCGCGTCGCCGCCGCCCCAATCATCCGCAACAGCCGCCGGCGCAGCCCTCTCCCCCTCCCCGCTCGCCGCCCTCCGCCCGCTCCGCCGCGGCGCGCCGCCGCCACAGTAGCCGTGCGCACGGTCGCGGGGTCCAAATCCCCGCCTTTTCACGCCGCATCACCGCCGCATCGCCACCACCAAGGAGCAATCGACGGTGCATTCGTCGTCGTCGGTGACAAGGTTAGTCCCGCGCCACCACGCCCGCCCCACCCTCGCTGGCCCCACGCCGCCACGCCCACCCCACCTTCGCCGCCCTCTTCTTCGGGGACGCGGCCGCCGGGGAGTTGGATGTCGCGGCCGCGCGCACGGCTACGGTGGCCGCGGCGCGCCGCGGCGGAGCGAAGGAGGCAGCCGGGCGGGGCGGGTGGAGGGCGGCGAGTGGGGAGGGGGAGAGCAGTGGCCGGTGGCCGGTGGAAGTGGAGGCGGAGCGCCGGTGGCTGGAGGAGAGCAGTGGCCAGCGCTCCCTCGAGAGAGAGGAAGAGGAGGAGGAGAGAGTGGAGAGATATGACAGGTGGGCCCGTATCAGGGGTATTTTGGTCCGGGAAAAAGTTAAAATTGAGGAAAAACATTTCTATTTACCCAAAAGAGTGAAAATAGTATTTTGGTGAACACCTCTAGTTTAGAATAGCATTTTAGTGAATCAGTTTGAAGGGATAGTATTCCAGCGAAACCACTCTTTTGCGATAGTATAATCCCAATTTTCTCATAAACCAAGGGGTGGTACACACTAGTGAATATTGACAGATGAGAGAGGCATGAAGAAGTTAGGCATGCATGTATGCAAGCAAGGCGTCACAATGTAGGTTGCAACAGAGTACATGTACAGCATTTTTTAGTTTAAACTACCATAAATGGTTTAGTTAATTACTTGATGAAATTAACCAACCTTTCTAGAAACTGACAAAAGGATGAGCTATCTGTGACAAAGATAACTGGGATAAAACTGACCATGTAAGTGAACAGATACTGTAGCACATTTTGAAGTCCAAGGAAGCAATGCGTCTAGCAGTTGATGTCTAAACCATCAGTGTTTTCTAGTAGTTAAACTATATTTAGGGTATTGTTTTACATGATCCATGAAACTAGGCAAGTACTTGTTTATCAGGTCAATGAATTAAACCCACCTAAAAGATGATCACTGAAAGAGAAAACCAGGATGAAATTAGCCATGTAATCTGAAAGAAAAAGGCAAATGTACCTTATGTGTCCTATGCTTGAACTACCGCAATTCCTGCTACTAAATTAACATGTTACCATCTGTTGGAAAAGGTATTAATTGCAGTTAGCTCAGAATTTCTCAGCCAAGTAGAACTACCGGAAAGGCGATCAATGAAAATGAGTAGTGGAATCAAGTTAGCCACATGTAATTCGAATCATCCAGATGATTTTACCAAACCTGAGATAAAAGGACGACTTGAGACTTTTGTGGCACTAAATTTAACCATATAGTACAAGAGCAACAAATTAAACAAATACTCCCCCTGTTAAACGATGTACTATAATGTTTAGACAATGCAAATAGGGAATTACAATGCCGTCCTTGAGCCTTGTCACTTTAGTGTTCAATAAAGTTACATATGAGTCCCTACCTTTAAACACTTTCTCATATCCAATGTGCATCAATACGAATATCTTAGACTCAAAGCTATTAACAAATTTCCACTAATTTTTGCATAACTACCATCCAATCACCATTTCTGAGGCACTCCAAAAGGCACTATATATAGACTGACAATAGAATTGTGGAAAAGGAGGGTAAAATAGAACTTCAAATATTTAACCATAGTTGCAAACTGAGTAATCAAGTTTACCAATGTGAGCAAAACCAACCTCCGAATCACAACCGTTCTCTTGCCGATAAAACACTCAATAAATTATCCCCTCTGAATAATTACCGAAAAGGCAATTAATTAGTGACAGGGAGTAGCAGGGGAAAACCAACCATGTATAATCCCAGGAACTAATGTCTCCTGTACCCCCAAGTTCAAACCACCACCACTTTCCACTCACTAAAAACATCACATCCATCACATTTTCAATAAGATCCAGTGGAAGCTGTCTTGCAGACTTGCAGCTAGCTAGCCAGCTACCATGAAGCCCATATGCCACCAAACCAAGGCCAGGACACAACACCTCAACCTTCAGACCTTATAATACCCCAAGAACCCACAACCACACATTGCAAAACCACCCATTCTCCTTGAATCTTGCCTCCAAAAACTCTTGCCACTTAGCATTCACAATGCTCACCACATCATCACATAGCAGGCACCACCATGCATTTGAGAGGAGCCCCAACCACAGCATGATGAAGAACATAGCAGACAGGAACAAGCATGATCTTCTTCAGAGTGCCATGAACCATGCAGCAAGCAAGTACATGCAGAGGATCTACCCTCTGGGGATCCAGAGGAGCAGCTCCAACCTCACACTCTCATCACTCTCCCTGTCACAGAACTCCAATGATTCTTCACTCAGCAGCTCAAACTCTAGCTGGGAGCCCAAGGTGCCCCTGCTGTATGGTGGCACATTTAGCCCCTGGGGTGATGTGCTTGTGTCCCTGGAGAGGAGGAGGGAAGAAGATGATGACAAGGTTAGTGATCATGATGTTGAGGGGGGAGAAGAGGATTTTGATTGCAGTGAGCCTGGGAGCTTGCATAGGTGCAGCTGGATCACCAAGAACAGTGGTAAGAAATGGTTATTACTACTACTTGCTATATGTTTTTCTTTCTTCTGTGCTAATTTTCATGCAGTCATGCAGATATGTTTTTTGGTTTTGTATTTCATTTGGTGGACAGATTCTGATGAACAATCATCTCAGCCTACTTAACAACAGTAGGCAGTTAAAAAGAATATGTACTTGTCACCTAAGGCAAGCATCAGTTTATTGTTAGGAAAAGTGAAGGATGTCGGATAAGTGAACATGCAAGATAAAAAAAACAAATTAGTTAATTAGTGTTGGACCAACTTATGAGTGCAATTAGTAATTAAGTATGATTCTTCTTTTAAAAAAAAGTAGGTAACATTACCCTCAGCAGAACACAAGTTTGGGACTTTGGATATAGCAAAAGTCGACATCGACATCACTGGCTGATGAAGCTCTGATTTTGACTAAGTTTCAGTCATCACTTGATGATGCCTTCACGAAAAATATTCAGTTGACAATTTCATCAGAAAGGGACTTCTCTCCATATTCTTGTAGTAGCTTTTCTTTTTGGCACCTGCTTGCAGTTTGTTGAGCAAACATAAATCCAAAAGGGGAGAAAAGAAGTACAAGAGCTGAAAACTGATCACTAACTGAAAGTCTGAAACCCGTCAATTGTGCAGATGAGGCGTACGTTCAGTTTCACGACGAGTGCTGGGGTGTCCCAGTGTACAACGACAAGTATGTACTGCGTATAAAATACCATTATTTACTGTCCATTTCTACTTAATTTCTGTATCTTGATCTATCTTTATTGCAATTTGCAGCCGTCTGTTCGAGCTGCTTGCGTTGTCAGGCATGCTCATCGACCACAACTGGACTGAGATACTCAAGAGAAGAGACATGTACAGGTATCTGAATTTCTGAACATTCCTGTACGTGATTTCTTCATGGTTTTGTTCTGTCCAAACTGGGCGATGGCTGATGCATGGCTGTTGGGTGATCTCGATTCAGGGAAGCGTTCGCGGACTTCGATCCCAGCACGGTGGCGAAGATGGACGAGAACGACGTCGCGGAGATCAGCGGCAACAAGGAGCTCAAGCTGGCCGAGTGCAGGGTCCGGTGCATCATCGAGAACGCCAAATGCATTCAGAAGGCGAGTACAGCATGGCCACGATGAATCGTTCATAAAACTTGCCAAGTTTTACTTCAAAACATTAAAGAAAATGTTAAAACAAATATGACATATATTAAACAAGGGAGAACAAACACTCCATCAATCTCGAAGAATCAATTTCCTATAAAGACATTTGTCTAGATTTGTAACTAAAAATATGTCTTTTGGGATAGAATTAATTTTCTATAGCCTGCAATTGATCTTCTTGGATAGATGGTGTATGTCACAAGATTTTAAAGTTTTTGAAAATGGACTCTAAAAATATTAAGCATACGCGGATGAGTATAGGTGGCGAAGGAGTTTGGGTCGTTCAGCGGATACATATGGGGGCACGTGAACCACCGGCCGACGGTGGGGAGGTACAAGCACCACAAGTACATCCCGTTCCGGACGCCCAAGTCAGAGGCGGTGAGCAAGGACCTCGTCCGCCGCGGCTTCCGCCTCGTTGGCCCCGTCATCGTCTACTCCTTCATGCAGGCCTCCGGCATCGTCATCGACCACCTCGTCGACTGCTTCCGCTTCCCTGAATGCCTCCACCTCGCCGACCGCTCCTGGGGCATTACCAACGTCGCTGCCTAATGACAAAAAAAAAAAAAAAAACCTTGAACTTTTCTGCCGCTCGCGAGCTCGACAGTGTTGCAAATAGCTTAGCTGTGTTCATTGCATGTTGCAGCGGCCAGCAAAGCTGCTACACTATACTAAAATATTGGGCGAGGCGGGTGCACCGTAGATGCAGTAGTGCAGTTGAACAAGCCGAAGACTTTTGGTGTGGCAAATCAAACCTCAAATTCAAATTCCCCCACTTGAAAATTTCTTTTTGTTTGGTTTTTCACTCTGGGGATTGGCGATGCTTGGATGTATTGTGTAGTAGGGTAGGGCTAAGTTTTTTTTTTTTTGGTTGCTCACTCCCACTTGGAAAGTGGTGTAGTGAGTTGTTAGTGGATGGTTTGTAAGAATAAGTTAAGATTTCCTTCTGTTTGGGCTTAACTGGGGTGTTGCATGAGAATGGAGCCCACAATGAACTCACATGTTCAGCAGAATAGGTTGCTCCATGTGTCAATGGGTGGCATTTCTCCGAAGATTCTTGGTTTACATTAGCCCATTTTGTATGAATATTAAGTGTTTACGTTTACCACCCCAACAAGGAGGTGCCACAACTTTCTTTTTAGTGCTAATTTGATATATCTCCTGGTACTTAAACATTAGAGAGGTATTGAAATATGGTATCTCCTTAAAAAATCTCACAAATATTTGATCAACAAGAAGAGATATTATGTATTTTCATTTCTAGCTTAATCAGATTATGAGAAGATACTTGGTGTACTCCCTAGTAATAGAACGAGGGAAAGGAACTTAACAGGAGCAAAGCATGCTGGTGGACGAAGGTTAAAAGAATTGAGTAAAATTCATAAAGCTACAAGTACTTTCACCAATCTATCACAAAACTACTAGTAGGAAATCGTCCATCTATGACGTTTTGCTCATGACGTTGTATAATTTCGTCATTGAATATAACATATCTATGACGAAATTTCATGTTTCGTCATGGATCACTCATGGCGGAGGGTAGACATCGAAACTCCATGACGAAATTTAAAATGGTGTCATAAAACAATAGATAATTTCGTCACAAAATGGTGCGCACCATTCATGTAACACACTTATGACGCTCCTTTATTAATACAATATGCTGAAATATATTTCGTCAGTTGTAAGTAAATCTCTATTCTGCTGTTGTTGGTCCCACCTTGCATATGTGGCTATCTAGGTTGTCACTGGACCCCACATTGTATACGTGGCTATCCAGATTGTTATTGGACCCCACATTGTATATGCAGCACAGGTGCGTTTTCGGGCCAGCAGATGCTTTGTGCAGTCCACGTGAATTTGTGCAGCCCATGTGAATTTTTTTTTCGCAGCCCAAATTTGTGCAGTCCGTGAATTTGTGCAGCCCATGTGTGAATCTGTGCAGCCCATGTGAACTCTTTTTTCTAAAAAAATGCTGCAGCACTTGGGGGTCGAACCCACGACTTGTGACTAACCATAATTCTAGCTTAACCACTACGCTGCAAGGAGCTTTCATGCTGATGATGTTTTACTTTTAGTTTTCCTTTCAATTCTCGAACACAAGAATGATTGAATGCTTTATGCGGGCGACCTAGTGGTTTGGTCAGGGAGGGAGGGGGGCGGTGGCGCAGGGTTTGGTCACAGCCAGGGAGGGAGGGTGGCGGCGGCGCAGGCGGAGCTCAGTGGGGGCGGATCCTAGCCACCGGGACGGCGCAGAGGAGGAGGTTTCTTATCCCACCAGTGCAGGAAAGGGCGGCTCCACAGGCTGGCCGGCATCGTGATGTGGAGCATCGTGGTGGGTGGCGGCGCGGTGAAGTGATCTTGGTCGGTGGGGCTGCGGAGAGATCCCGGTCGGCGCGGGGGATCCTCGACGACTGAGACAGATCGGCTGCTCCTCGCCCACCGTCTTATCCTAGCACCTCCTCTCTCAATCCTGTCGTCAGCGCGCACAGCCCATCACCAACGCCGTTCAGTAGATATAAGGTATGATTTTCCATAAGTACATTACTCTGAGTATGAAATGCAAGTTCAGCTATGAAAGATTATGCTTTGTGTTGTATGAACAGAGAAACAAGTCAGAGTATTATGAACAAATCAACATGGTTTAAGTCATGTAGCAACCAGCTGTTCCATCTAATGTTTTAGAAAATATTCTGTCCTAAAAAATGGATTAGCTTTGTTTGCCTAATTGCTTTTTTAACATGCCAAAGCAGATGGACAGAACTTGGATACATGGGAGACAATTCACACCTGCATACATGGAGGGAGTGAAACAGTTCATGGAATTTGTTGGACAAAGATTTGATGAACACGTTGACATACCATGCCCATGCTGTAGGTGTCTTAACCACACTTCACTGCCTCAGCAAGAAATGCATGACCATATACATATTTTTGGGATGTCATCAACATACACCCGGTGGATTTATCATGGAGAATTAGTTGATACAGAAGATGTCGAATATTTGGAACAGGTACATGAAACTAACCATAATGAAGGGACAGATGTGGGCGGGTATGAACCCGAGGATGACAATGGAGTTCCAGAGTTAATAGGTGAACTATACACTGCGGCAGAGGAAGATGGACAGCCACCAAGGTTTGCTAGAATTCTTGAAGATGCGAAGCAGGCACTTTGCCCAGGATCTAACCATTCAAGATTTTCCTTTCTTGTGAGGCTGCTCCATATCAAGTCATATTATCGAATCAGCAATACAGCTTTCACTGAATTATTGAAGTTGTTGTCCTCGACATTCCCTCAATGTCAATTACCAAAATCTTATGATGAGGCAAAGAAATATCTTCGTGAATTGGGCCTTGGATATGTGTCGATCCATGTGTGCAAGAATAATTGTGTGCTATTTCGGAAGGAATATGCCAATATGGATCTATGCCCAATATGTGGTGAATCCAGATGAGAAGATGGGGTTGGCGACAGGAAGGTTCCTCGCAAAGTTTTGAGGCATTTTCCACTTATCCCAAGGTTAAAGAGGATATTTGCATCAAAACGAACAGCTGAAGACACACAGTGGCACAAAATCAAGCGGAAGCCAGTGGATAATGAAATGAGCCATGCAGCAGATGGGGAGGCTTGGAAGGACTTCGACAGAAAGTATCGAACTTTCGCAGAAGATGCAAGGAATATGAGGCTTGCCATAGCTACAGATGGATTCAATCCATTTGGCAAGGTGAGCAATTCGTATAGCATGTGGCCTGTCCTTGTTATGCCTTTGAATCTACCACCATGGGAATCTGTCGATCCATCGAACTGCATTATGTCATTACTGATCCCAGGTCCAACATCTCCAGGAAAGGATTTTGATTTATTCTTGGAGCCTCTGATAGAAGAATTGCTTGAATTATGGATAGGTGTTAGTACTTATGATGCATTCAGTGCTAGAAAGTTCAATCTTCGTGCCGCCGTGCTATGGTGCATACATGATTATCCAGCTCTAAGCACCTTGTCAGGGCGAACTACAAAAGGTTATTATGCATGCATTCATTGTGACAAAAATCCGTTGTCACGAGCACTAAGAAATAAGATAGGCTACTTTGGCCACCGTCGTTTCCTTCCAAGGACACACGCTTGGCGAAGAAGCCATGCTTTTGATGGACACCATGAAAACCAGGTTGAGCCAGGAAAATTCAGCACAGATGAGGTCCTCGAGCAGTTAGAGAAGGTGAAAGATGTTAGACCGGGTAAGCATGATACAAGTAAGAAAAGAAAACGTGGAGAGGATGAAGGGCCACTAATTTATAGCCGCAAAGTAAGTCTGTGGAAGCTCCCATATTGGAAAGATTTGTTGCTGCCACATAATCTTGATGTGATGCACATTGAGAAAAACATATGTGACAACATTTTGGGCACATTGCTCAAAATCGAGGGCAAGACAAAGGACACAGTCAATTCGAGGATAGATTTGCATGATATGAACATAAGACATAACTTGCACTTACAGCAGGATGGCAACTCAGTTCGCATCCCACAAGCTCGCTATGTCTTGAAGAAGGAACAAAGAATTGAGTTTTGTAACTTCCTCAAAGGTGTCAAGTATCCACATGGATATGCAGCCAACCTAGCAAGATGCATAAGTTCAGATGGTTCCAAGGTGCAGGGGCTCAAAACTCATGACTGCCATGTCCTTCTCCAAAGAATTATACCTGCCGGCATAAGAGGATTTGTGGACAAGGATATATACGAAGCAATTGCAGAGCTTGGTAACTTCTTCAGGGAATTGTGTAGTAGAAATCTAAGGATAGATGTCCTCAAACGACTGAAAAAAGACATCCCGCTGATCCTATGCAAACTTGAGAAAATTTTTCCTCCACCCTTCTTTGACGTGATGGTGCACTTGGCCGTACATCTACCTGATGAGGCACTACTTAGAGGTCCTGTACAATATGGATGGATGTACCCAATAGAAAGACGACTTGGCACCTTTAAGAATTCCATGCGGAACAGGGCTAAGCCTGAAGGATCAATTGCTGAGGCCTATGTAGCAAGTGACACCTTGACATTTTGTTCAAGGTACATGGAGGATGTTGACACTAGATTTAATCGGGACGCCCGTCATGGGGATGGGCCATTGGATGGTAACAGCTCTGTTTTTATGCATGGTGTTAAACTCATAGGATCCACTAGGATACAGTACATGGAGGATGAAATCATGGATAAGCTAGTTTGGTATGTGCTAAATAACTGTGAGGAGGTTCAACCATATTTGGAGTAAGCACCATTTATGTAGGTTTATTTCACATGTATTGTATTAAATATAATATTTTCCTAATTGTTGAGTCATAATTTGCTACAGCATGCATAGAGAAGAGTTGGAGAAAGAAGATGCACATGATGTTGACAGAAGACTTGAAAAAGGATTTGCTAGGTGGTTTAAGACTCATGTAAGTGACACACACTTACAAAAATATCATTTTTTGGTGATGAAATTTCAAATTGGGAATAACATGTGTATTTTTTTTGTATATATATATATATATATATATATATATATATATATATATATATATATATATATATATATATATATATATATATATATATATATATATATATATATATCAGATCTGGAAGCTGAGGAAAGAAAATCCAGGGGTGGTCAGTGAAGCACTATTTGCATTGTCATGTGGTCCTGATCTCCGAGTAAAGAGTTGTGCATCTTGCATTGTCAACGGAGTCCGGTATAGCACTGTTGACCGTGAGAAATACCTCCAAACGCAGAATAGTGGTGTAATGGTTGATGGTACACATGAAGGGGATAACATTGAATTTTATGGTGTCCTTAGGGAGATTCTTGAGTTGCAGTATAACTCTGATCTAGATATCTATCGATCGGTGGTTCTTTTCCGTTGTGATTGGTTCAATCAAGTTGGCAAGACAAGAGGAGTTAGGGATGACGGGCATTTCAAATCCATCAACATCCAATCATTTTGGTACAAGGATGACCCTTTCATTTTAGCAACTCAATCGAAGAAGATATTTTACTTGCAGGACACCTCTTTGGGCAACGAATGGCGAATTGTGCAGAAATTCGAACATAGGAACATGTATAATGTGTCTGAAAAAGATGACCACATTTTTGATGTACACCAAGATGATAATTGTTCTGATACAGAACATGAAGTGCATGAAGGTAATGCTGATGAGGATCTAGACCATTTGCAGGAAGATGGAGAAGTTACTATTATTGAAGCTAATTTAGAAGACCTTAACAACCAAGCTAACTTGACTGAAGACAGTAGGGATGATGCAGATGAAGATGACACAATATTGCAGTACTGTAGTGACAGTGGCAATGGGAACGCTGAAGATGACATGCCGGAAGACACCGATGATGATTAAATTATATCTTGAGTTGTGTCATCTATCTGATATGTCATATGTAATTGGGATGAGCTATAAACTCATTTATTTTGTGTTATGTAACTGAGATGTCACAACTGATTTATTCTGTGAACTCATTTGCCATTGCATATCTGAAACACATCGAGATTCTGAGCTAGCAATTTTAAGAACAGAGTTGTTACCAGCAATGATTTGCATTTATTTGATTTCTTTCCCAGGTTCATGGTGCTAACTCATATTCCTAACAATATGTGAAGCAGTTGGGTCAAAAATTTCAGGAGAAGAGAAAATATTTTACTTCTGTTTTTTGGGCAATCCAGTAAGTTTCCTGGTGAAACAGTATGCAAAGTGATGTACATATATATTTGTTCCAAGTGACATACTGCATATCAGTCTAAAACTGTACAGACCATGACATTTCAAGCAGCAAAAACCAATTTCAATCTGTACAAACACAACTTACACTTCAAGCATCTGTTCAAAGCATTACACTTTTTTCTTAATTGTCATATTCAATTGACATAAAAAAATGACACAAATATGGTCTTCACATTTTCAAAATAACACAATAATCAGCCATAAGTTTATTCACATTCATGATCTCAATCTGAATTCACCAAGCTGTACAAAGAAGTATCATTTCTTCTCAAGCTACTGTTGTCGCCCACATCCAGGAAGCAAGCAGCATAAGCACCAGAAGCTTGCTACTCGATCATGGCCAGCACCAGGTCCTCTTCACCAGCAGCGCTGGGAGCATCGGCCTTGGAGATGCGGCACCTGGACCAGCCGCTACTGCGGCGATGCGGTCGGAGTCGGAGACGGGATGCGGCCGCAGGTGTGGTGACGCGGCGGCCGCGCTCCATCGGCAGCAGATGGCGCGGAGGCGGAAGAATGTGTCCGGCGGGAGGCGTGCCACGACGCGCTCCAGCACGCCGTCGTGGAGGTCCCCAGCCCACGCGTCGGCGGGCTCCTGCGCTTCCTGCTAATTCTCACCGCCATGGAGGAGGAAGCTCTTTTTTTTTTGTTACGATTTGGTTTGGTTTGGATCTGAATCCGTTGTTATATGTGTGTTGATTTACGATTGTACCCTCGTTATATGTGAGTTCTACCGATAAGAATGAGGGGTAAGTCGGTCCAAACCACCCGGTCCGTTCTATTAAAACCGGCCGGTCCAACATTTTTCCTACAAACACCGACCGGTTCACCCAGTTTAAAGTGAACATAAAATTTTTAAAATTCAATTTTCAATTGGACCTATATACTCCCTCCGTCCCATAAAAAACCAACTTCTGACTATAAATCTGGACGCAACATGTGTCCAGGTTCATAGCCAGAAGTTGATTTTTTTATGGGACGGAGGGAGTATCCATGAATGGTAAACTGAGACGATTTTATCACCTGCCTGGCTCAAATCCTCCGTCGCCGATCATCCTCCAGCTTGGCTTTAGATCCACCGGCAACACCACCGAGGCTGGAACCAGGTTCTTGCATTCCACGGTGTCGATGGTGAATGGCGAGGTGAGCAACCACGAGGATGACATGGAGGTCTCGATGACATGGGAGACGACGACCGCGCCCCTGTGGTAGACGTCCACAGCAGATTTTGACTATAGAAGAGCCGACACCAATACTATAGGTGTTGGTTTTCTTTTTTTAAAAAAAAAACCAACACCTTTAATTTGTCATAGGTGCCAATTAATTAAAAAAAGACACCTATAATATATTATAGGTGCTAGTTTCTAAAAATAAATTCAGTCATGCTTAAAGCAGTGTTGTGGAAAACCGTATTCCGTCTGACAACCGTATTCCGATTAATCGGTGAATGCTTCTTAAACTGCTAAATTGTCTGTGTTTTCCAAAAAGTTTTTATAGGAAAGTTGCTTTAAAAAATAATATTAGGGGGTGTTTAGTTCCCACATTTTTTTTTCAAAAATGTCACATCGAATGTTTAGATACATGCATTGAGTGCTAAATGTAGACAAAATAACCAATTACACAGTTTGCGTGTAAATTGTGAGACCAATATTTTGAGCCTAATTGCGCCATGATTTGACTATGTGGTGCTGCAGTAAACATTTGCTAATGACGGATGTTTTAGGCTTAATAAATTTGTGTCGTAGTTTACAGGCATAATCTATAATTAGTTTTGTTATTAGTTTACGTTTAATACTTTAAATGTGTGTCCGTATACTTTAAAAACTTTACACCCTGGAACTAAACACCCCCTTAATCCAAATTTTCAAGTTATATAATATTGAACGGAGGGAGTATATTTTTAAAGTCAAATTGTTAATCCAGATAGATTAGTATAATTTGAATGTTTTCGATTTATGGATAATGTTAATTACTCATGGATGGAGGATTTTTCGTTTGGCGCCTAAACCTACCGCCAATGACAGCCCCAAAACATTCCATTGCCGCCCATTTGCCCAAATCAGAATGGGAAATGTCACTTTTATCCTCCATCTAACGAAGAGCAAAACAACACCCAGGGGCATTTGTGCAACCACTATATATTTACAAAGCCTCTCACCCACCAAACCCTAATCCCCAAATCCAGCCGCCACACCATCGGGGCGCCGCTCTACCAGAGCCGCCGCCGACTACCGCCGCACCGGAGCCTTCCCCTGCAACCCCGTCGACGACAACCGCTGCGCCGGAGCCTTCCCGTGCAAACCGATCGACGACGACCGTTGCACCAGATCCGTCCCCTACTTCCTCGTCGTCGACAGCCGCCGCAACGACGCCTTCCGCTGCAACCCCGTCGACGACGACCGCTGCACCAGATCCTTCCCCCACTACGCCGTCGATGACTTCCGCTGCATCGGAGCCGGTACCCCGTCGACGACTACTGCCGCACCGAAGCCATCTCCCACAACACCGTCGACGCCTACCGCCGCACCGGAGCCGGGTACCCCATCGACAAGGTCCCTGCACCGTCGCCGTACCTAGCCGATGGGAAGACGTCGACGTCCAGTAGCACGAGGTACGCAAAATTATCTTGTCGTCTCAAGCTCAGATGTTTATGTGTACTGTCTCAAGCTATTAGATGTTATACATCATGTGGATTGATTTGCCGTCCAACTTCTATTAAGAATTTTCTGTGTGCAATCCGATTTAGGTCACTATCTACAATAACAGTTGATGCTATTGCTAGTTTGCTACTGCATATGGCATTGTTTCTGTGTTATTCAGGCGCACCTTTAAATTAATCATGCTATGTTGATTCTCAAATAAATTTGTGCCTCAAGTTGCCATAAGCATCTTCCAGAGTGTGGATTTCAGATCAACAATGGAAATTTTATTTAGATTCTGCTTTGTTTGTGTTTATGAATGTACCAATAATTTGAGTTAGTCGTATAAATAGATACAGTTTATTAGGTGAAAGAGAATGATATAATGGCTATATCATTTATATGACCAATGTTGTTCACTGTAAAAGTGTTTCCAGAGTTCTCATCAAAATTGTCTTTTAAAATGGAAAAGTGAATCACCCTGTTGTTTTTACTAGATATTGAAGTAAAGTTGTTTTTCACCATTGATCATTAAATCCCCAATGTTGATGAGCATGGTCTCTCTTTTTTTCATCCCAAATGCCTAGATACTTTATTGTTTCTATTTCTGAAAATGCTTATATGCTTAGGAAATGCCATCAAAATGCCATCTAGTATTCTGACCATTAAAATATGTGTATTCATGTAAGAACCTGCACAAAACGAATATGAAAGAACGCGGCAAGAGAAAATCTTGCAGAATATAAGAAGGATTGATGAACTTGGCATCAAAGACATAGCTGCCACTATTAAACATATCGAAACACAACATGCATCTTCAAAGACAAAAAACTCAGGCACCAAGAAAAGTCATGGAGAAGGTTCTGATACATCAGAGTTTCTCCCTGAAGATGATGAACAAGGGGTTCAGTGTGATGATGATTCATATTTAGAACCGGAGCAGCCCGTCCCCATAATGATTGAGGTGCTTCTTCTATCTTGGCTGTGGGGGGGCTAGGATATCTGCAATAATTTTTCCGCATTTAATTTGTGCAGCATTTGATTATTTTTTTAATGATTGTTGCTAATTTATTCACATGCTTACAACTTTTGTGTTTATTATTGTAGTACCCTCGACAAACTAGACGAAAGAAGTGTGCGACGAAGAAGAAACCTACCCTCAAGATGCCACCAGGAGTAAGGATATCAAAGAGAGTGAGGGCGGGTGCTCCAACCGAAATGCCTCCTGGAGTCTCAACAAGGTCAGCGAAAAGGCAACTCATAGCAGAACAAGGTAAAGGTAATGGCCATGAAGAACTGCCTCCAGAAACAGAAAACAATGGTGATGAAGATGTGGGCAGTGGACATTTGCTTCAAGATAATGATGTGAACTGGCCCCCGAGCCCGGTGATGGACTGGTCATATGGACATGATGCCAACCATGAAGAGCAACCTGCACAGCAAACCAATTCTGATGTTGAAGGCAAGTTAGTTCAACGAAGAGAAATTTATTATTTTTAACTATTTGATGAATGCTAACATTGTAATTGAATACTCTGTAGTACCTATACGAAGAGGCACAAGAAAATCAAGGCCACCAACTGCAGGAATAATGCTTGACAAGATGACCAAAGCTATGGGAAGAATGCCCATTGCTGTTGCCGAAGGGAAGAAAAGGCCAGATGAACCGGTGCAAGCTGCCAAGTTTGCATCAGAGGCTGGTGTTATCATTAGGACTAAAGTTCATGTCTTCCCTCATTGGAAGCAGTACAAGGATGATGAAGGCTATATTAACAACTTCATGGGCAAGTTATCTGTAAGAGCCTATCTATATTCTTTTATATTTCATCTATTATATGACCTAGTGTTACTCCTTAATGATTGCAATTCAAACCATCAGGTCAAGTTGGCCATTAACCAAAAACACCAGCCAACAAGGGATGCTTGTGCTGATGTATTGCAGAAAGGGATACGACAAACACGGTATAATTTGAAGAAGGCCTACTTCAATGGAGTACCTGCTAACGAGATTAGAACTACCTCTCCCATAAGTAGCATGACTGATGAACAGTGGCTGGAACTTGTTGCAAAGTGGTCAAATCCAAAGAATATGGTATGTCATCTCTAATGACATATTTGTTTCATTTTATACCTGCGACTATGTCTAACACATACATCTTTTGTAGCAAATCTCTGAACAGAACAAGCAAAACCGGCTTAATGTTAGGTTCCATCAGGCTACGGGATCTCGCAGCTATGCTGCACACTTGCACGCTTACGTAAGTTCCCATTATCTTTTAGCATTAATTGTAGTTAAGAACCACTTATCTAATGTAATAGATATATAAAATAATTGATCTGCATTTTCTGTACTGAAATAGAAGGAGAAGAACAAGGTTGTAGAGCTTGATGCTGTGGATGCCTTTGAGGACTGCCATACCAGTAGGGAAAAAGGTCTAAGTGATGCTGCCAAAGATGCAATTGTAAGTCACTCTGTATATTCTTACAACATTGAACTCAATTCCTTGTTACCTATGCCAACATATTATTAATTCAGCTCATTTTATATTTACATCCATAGGATAATTTCTGTCCTTAGTGTGCAGAGATATTTGCAGCTAAGATCATTACAGACTTAATGGAATTTATAGACTCTAACAATGTTAGAATACATACCAAACTAAATTTGTAGCTGCTGGAAACTTGTCGCTAGACAACTTACCATATACAACATAAGTTGAGATTGGGTTAAAATGCCAAATAAGCTACATAAACATTTTTTCATCAATTGATCCTGGTTGCAGTTTGTATTTTTATCAATATCCCGGGTTTGAGGGTGTGATTCATGAAAACTCATTTTTACCTAAGCTGCTGTAGTGGTGTTTGCATGTATTGAGGTTTTGAATCATATGAACATAAGACTGAATATATTTCAGCCTTTACTACTTCAAAACTTATTTCATTGTAACTTGGAAAAGTAAACTTAATTATGAGGGATTATGTACTCCACACTAGTATTTTCTTTCTAAACATTAGTGGTTTCTAGGGAAAATATTTAGGCATCATAGGAGGAATAGAAAATAACATTGCACCCCCTCCGAATTTTATGAAAGTAGTTGAGGGGAAAACCTTGTTCTTTTATAGCTACCAGGGTGTTCCATCAATCAAAAGCTGCCATGAAAGCTAATCAAATATAGTCTAAAGTCAGCCTTCTGATATATGCTAAAACAGTATCCTAGATTCTGTCAAGAAGCATTTGGCCTGCATTGTTGCTAGAGGCTAGATAGAAAATAATTACATTCTACCATAGTTAGAACTCAAAATGTTTCTGGTCTCTTTCACAGTTAAGAGGGCAATGCAATATTTCTAAATATGGGAATGCTTGGCTTACTCATATAATTTGTTTCTGTTTTGGCTTATGGAAAACAAATTTGGTTAAATTTGCATTCTATACAAGTTTCCTTACCTCTAGTTTGTGCTTCCTGGTAGCTTTCCATCAGTTTTCAGTGACTTTTTGAATGTGTTGTGCAGCTGCCAGTATTTTGAATGTGTTATGCAGCAGCCAGTTTTTCATGTATCTAATTTCATAGCTAATGTTCAATCATTGCTGCAGTCAAGTATGAAAGCTATTATGGAAGAACCTGTACCTGATGGTGAGACACCAAGAACTAGTGCAGAAGTTGTGTCCAAGGTTCTCTCTCGGGACAATTCCAATACCACGTTTTTGAAAAATGCTGGTCTGCAGATGAGCTCCAAGAAATCAGTGACACCGACAGAAGCAGCACTTCAGGAAGAACTTGCAGCTGAAAAGCAAAGTTCAGCCATTCTCCATGCAGAAGTTGTCGAACTAAAAGAACAAGCAAATCTTGCAAATGAAGCACTGGCAAAGACTCAAAAGGAGTTGGCAGAGTTCAAGCAGCAGCAGGAAGAGAACAATTTGCTCCTTCGACGTATCTTGAGCCTTTCCCAGGGTAACTTAAATCTGTCCTAGTCTCCTTTATGATCTTCTGCACTGTGATGAACTCCATCTACTTATATTAGTTGTTTGATGGTTCTGTGAACTTATTGTCATGTGGTGGACTTGATTATGTGAAATGATGTTTGGTGCTATGGTGGACTGAATGTCATCCTATGGCAAACTTTTGTGGACTTAATGTGAACATATGTGTGCTAGGTTCTGTGAACTTTTTTGTAATATGGTGCTATGTGAAGTTGGTATATGTGATATATGTTGATGTTGGGCCTATTTGTAATGTGCTGTGAAGTTCTGATTGTTTGTCCATGTGATCAATCTTGATGTTGGGCCTATTTTCTTATGTGCTGCGAAGTTCTGATTAATTGTTGCTTGAAATGGGTGAATGCTAAAAATTTCCTAGATCTCATAGTGGGATGGGCCACAACAATATGTGAAGTATGTGGCCAAATGGGCTGGGCTAAGAAAAAAAAAATGAGCGGGCCTTCATCCCTACTGTGCTAACGTGTCATCCAAACAAATTAACACGTGGCAACATCAGGTAAAGACGTGTGTCACAAATCAGATATGTACACGTGGCAGCTTGCACCACCACGTGGACATACCAAATGCCAACACGTGGCGTTAAATACGACTGCCACTTGGCTCTAGCGTACGGGAGATGATGATCCAGCGTGGCGTACACGTCATCCGCCACATCACAGCCAACATGGACTCCACGTGTGATAGCCACGTGGCATGGACGACGTCTGTCCTAGCCAGCTGGAAAGCAGTTCTATGACGAGCACCTTCGTCATGGATATAAGCATTTCTATGACGAAATCTACTGTTTAGTCATAGAAAAACATATGTGACGCGACTTCTATGACGAATCCCATTTCGTCATAAATTCGTCATAGAAGTTACTTTATGACGATTTGCGCGTCTTCCATGACAAAAGTAGATTGTCATAGATGTGCCTATCTCCATATATATATATATATATATCTACAAATTTAACACCATACTTTTCACAAAACTATATATTTAAGCAGTGGCGGAGATAGTGTGGGAGCGGTGGGGGCTTGAGCCCCCACAACCCCCTAATGACCCATTAAAGCCCTCGTAATACCCCCCCTACAATTTTAATCCTGAGGAGAGCTAAGATAGACTTTGTCTGATATTTTTAGAAGGCACAAGAGGCTAAGAAGGGCTAAAAATCCCCACAACCCCACCCAACCCTAATCTCCTACCTCCAGCGTAGAGAGAGGCGTCGCTCTTGGCCTCCTCCTGTTCGCGTTCGCGTGTGGCGGCGGCAGACGAGCGCGAGTCGCGCGATGGGGCGGCGGCTTGTGGAGTTGCGGCGGCCGGCGAGGGGACCTGGGAGTCGGGGGGCGCGGGCGCGCGGCATCAAGCAGGGCGCAGGCGGGCGGCAGCAAGCAGGGCGCAGGCCGGCCGGCGGCCGGCGGGGGGACGCGGCGGCGGCGTGGCGCGGCGCCTGGGCAATGGGCAAAGGACGGCACCGTGGCAGCAGCTAGCAGCAGCAGGGCAGCAGCAAGCACCCAGAACAGCAGATCGAGGATTTGAGGAATTGAGGTATATAAAATTTCTGATTTGTCATTTAAAATCAATTTCAATTGTCAAGTCCAGTTGTTATTAATAGTTCAAGCCTTCAAGAAATCATAGAGATATTGAATTGAAAATTTTGTTTGTGATTCCTAGTTTGCTACTTTGTTATATTGCTAGATTGTGAAGATGTCAAAAAGAACATTGCTCACATATTATTCTAGTTCAAGTAACACAAATACCAGCGATCCTCCACTCAATAATGAGATTGCAAGTCAGTCAAAGAGGCCTAGAGAAGAGTTTAGTCATATGGATATCATTGGTGATCCAGGGAAACGGAAACAAATTGATTATCCATCTGAAATTAGAGATCAAGTAAAAAGGGCATATGCATTGAGTGGTCCAACTTAATTAGAGATCAAGTAAAAAGGGCATATGCATTGAGTGGTCCAACTTAACCAGATATTTGCACATTTCCTCGTAAGTGGCAAAGTAGTGAATGGAGATCCTTTCAAAAAGCTTTGGTATGGATAATGTTTATTTTTTGTTAATTCTATATATTTATACTTTGTATTAGACATATAGCCAATTTACATGACACATGTCTTGACTTTTATTAGCCACTTTTAGTTTAGCCCCCACTATGTTTTTATCCTGGCTCCGCCACTGTATTTAAGGTATCGTATAGAAAACTACAGATTAACATCAATGTCATCACAAAGCAATTATTTTTGTAATCTCAATAGTGTTATGGGTATATACTCTAAAATTTGTAGTTGTTCGGTAACTTCATCTTTAAATCTGTAGTTTTGTGATATTGTGCTTTAAATATATAGTTCTACAATAAATTTGGCACTAAATATACACATATTTAAATATGTAGTTTTGCGATAGTTTAGCTAAAATATTTGTAGTTCTATGAAATTTACATCTAGGATCATATGACCAAAGCACATCAAAACACTGACAGGCCTCTTCCACATATTCTGAAGCATGTATTTTTTTTCAAAAAAAAAAGAAGCTGGATTGAGTGTTTACATTTGAGATTATTCTTCCATCGATGAGCTTGACCAACCTGCATAAGGATGAATGACGAATATATGTAGCAACTGCAACACAGATAGACACAATTATATATGTACATGCAGTAATATTTAAATGTTTTCTCAAGATAAGTATTTACAATGTATACAATGGTCAATCACTGGTGGTTCATCTCGATACTACAGGACATATATACATAATGAAAACAACAAACATAATTAAGTAAAAGAACTACGTAAAGACGCAACAATGTCCTGCTGGAATACATACTCACATTTTAGATCTCTGTAGGGATATCTCTACCTTATGACCACTGTGCACATATATCAGAGAAGGTTTTATTCTACTTGTACTATCTAGTGAAGGGCTACTGCACGTATGCAACTATTACCACGGTAGAACACAACTGCTCAGGAATACCGCTTGGTTGGCCTACATTACTTTATTTCTTCTCTACCATTTTAAAATTGGCAAGAAGTGCCTAGCCTCTGCGTCAGCCATGGGTTGCGGCCTGCAGTTTGCTTTCGATCTTGGAACATGCTCTGGAGCAAATCCTGGAACTTCTCAAGGAATGGGCTCCATTTGTTGGCACTCAAGTCTGATAACTTTGCGAAGCTGGAGTTGTGAGGGAGCTTCTCCTTGGCACTATGATTGCCACTATAACTATTGCTGTTAATTTTAGAAGTAACCTTGTTCTTCGCGACGCCACTATGAGATTTGCGTCTTCCACTGAAGCTAAGTTCATTGGACGAAATGGACAAGTTTGAGGTGGAAGGAGTCCAAGTAGTAATTGGACTTGTGCAGGTTCCCACATCATCCTTGTTGAACTCATTGTTGTCATCTTCATCCACATATTCATTTACTTCAGCTAATTTTGATGGTGGATCCCTAGAATTACCTTTGATTGGCCTGATATTGTTGGAAAATGATGCTTCAAATGTAGTTGAATCATCCTCAGAATCGAGATCAAACTGAGTGGACTCATTGTCATCCTCTCCTTCAAAATCAGCTTGTGGAAGCAGCCACTCTCTTTCCTCAACCCAATTCCTTGCCTCCATGCACAAAACCTCAAGATCACTTGGCTCCTCTTCTTTCCTAGTGAATTGCCTGCTCATCATCTCTCCTATCTCAGACAAGCAAAAGCCACAAGCCGCAGCTTCCTTAAGAAATGTTGTTGAGAGAACCAACACCCTAAGACTTGCCTCATGGATCGTATGCAGCTCCATGCGAAGCATTTCAGCATCTTTTATAGGGTCTAGGTTCGTAATGTACTCAAGATCTTCCTCGGAGAAAGGAATAGATGCTTGTGGCCAATGGATCCACTCAAAGTAAGGGTCCTCTAAGCTTTCTGGAAGACAAAGGCCATGATCAATAGGAATAAGTTCTGTTTGTGTTTCAAATCTGCTAGCATCATTATAAAGCTTCCTAACAAGTATATTTCCTGCATGTCTGTCTGTGTTGAAGATTCTAATATCAAGTATACCAATCCTATGAACAGCAGAGACAGGAAAGCTTGATGTACCATGGTCACTAGCATCATAGTCATGAGGAATAAACTCTTGCAAAGACGCAAGCTTGCTAAAAGCTTGTGTTTTGTTGTCACTAGACTTTGTTTTATAGTCAACACCCTCATTCATATGGAACACGCTATGGGTGATCTTTACCAGCATAGTGGGAGGTACATTTGCAAAATTCTTGTGATCTAGAAGATATGCGGCAACCTCTCGGGACCCTGTTTCACCAACACGCACTGATTTTTTAAGACCTGGTAGTCCAAGAGACTTCCCTACAAAACCTTTAGGATTGTTTGGACCAAATGGTTCCTCATCAGTTGGCTTAACTATTGCAGCATGCTCACCCCACATGTCTCGGAAATAGTAGGCACCACCCATCCCACTGCTGATAGCTACTGGTTCGATGCCTTTTTCAATTCCCCGAACAATATCATCAACTAACTGCTTCATTCTTGCAGAAGGGCTTGTGCACCCCACGATTTCAATGACTCTACTATCATCACAGTGTTGAACATCCTTTCCATTTGGAGAGAGGCAAGGTGTGGAGCAACTTCTGTGCATGTGATTCCTAGTGAGAAGCAATGGAGAGTCATTGCAAATGTAGCTGAGATCATTGTTCAAAAGTTGATCACCACATGTCAGTGAACTCTCTTCAGTGGGAATATTAAGCGCTAACTGCAGCTTCTTTTTTACGGTGTGTGCATTTTCTCCTCGCTCCAATTCAATGCCCAAGACAGAGCCTTTGTCAGTTTGGACAAACACACGCTTCCAACTAAGTGATCTCCCCTCAATTTGATTCTTTGAGGAGTAACCATTGTTGAATGTGTGATCCGGAACTGCAACAGCCATCTTTAACTGAACAGAATTACCAAGGTTCTGACTTTGGAAGCATAGACTGCCTGAAAGGAACCGTCAGTGGGGGTTACCTCCTTCCTTGTGCTACATAGAGGAGGCAAGACCAACTATATCAGAAATTAGAGGAGAGTAAACAATCTTCCAACATTATAGCATCAGTGTAATGAATAGGCAATGCTCAAGTTGCTCATGGCTTAGCTTTCCAAGGGTACAAATTGATAAAGTTACATGTCTAAAATGGATAGGTGCACAAATAGTTATATAGGTCCAACAGAGATAAACCATGAGAATTTGAGAACCCGTGTTATTGCACGGTTTATGATTAAATTATCATTACATATTACTAAAAAAATAAAAAAGAACATAAGAGCAAGCTTCAACTATCTTGTTCAAGAAAACAAGAGTGCACATAAACAAGGATATAAGTAAGACATTAAGAAAAAAAAAAGTAATTCTAATCCAAAAGGAGAAAATGCAAATTAAATGAAAGAAATATGTGGAAGGGACTGTTAGTGTTACATAAAGGTGTTGCAAAGCTAGCATTACCTTAAAGCACTGAAAAGAACTTAAGTGCATTTTCTTTTCTTCTCTATAAAGCATGAAGATGCATATATATCTAGTCTATTTTAAGTAATCGTCAATGGAAAAACATTGTGTGTGCTCATAGTTAAATATATTTTTTTTATCATTAAGCGCAATTGCTATATGTGGATGATTCAAACTAATCGTAAATGGCATGAGGACAAATATTAGAACAAAAACATAGTAAACACTACTATTTGGAGCTAGAATTTAGAACAACATTAATATTATGCGTGATTCAATGGATTACACATATTCGAGTTAGGTAATGTTATCATGTACACTACAACATCTCTACACCACACTTGAGTGACAAATTGACACAAATTATCGCACATGGTAAAGGAAATGAACTGCTTACCACTATAAACAATTGAAAATTCACCCTAAAAATGTGGACATTCTTTTGCTCGCATCAAATTCTCAGTACAATCACCACACTCCCCTCAAACAATCAATCTGGTAGAATGCAGCCCGACAAACCTCACTCACTTATTCACCGGTAGGCCGGACCGGGGAACGGCGGTGGTGGTGAGATCTAATGGCACAAAAGGTGGTGATGATGCGACGCGATGGGACACGCTCTCTTCGCCCTCTCTCTGCACCTCCCCACTTCACCAACACAGGTCGAGAGATTCGAGACCCAACCGAAGGATGGGGTTAAACTAATCACCGTGGTTAAGGTGAGGTAATAATAGACATCGGCGAGCACTTTATAGCCAACCACTAGTAACAGCTGGAGTTGTTCCAAGATAACCTCGTCTAATCAAATCTCGGGGAAGTTACAGTACCCAAAAATAGGTCTCACTTGCGGTTCTGGAGGTGGTTTAGCTGTAAGATCTCGTTAGAGTCTTTATGCAAAAGATTATTCTAGACTTACTATTCTTAGCATGCTTGGGATCGAAGAATTGACCATGCATAAGATTTTACGAGTACCTTCCAAGCACATCATATATTTAGTTCTCCATATAGAAATTGCTAATTTAGCATGTGATTGGTTTTGTTTTTCCTGAAGCATATGTATACTATTTAGATATTAAAGTTAGAAGACAGCTATTTTTAATTAATTAGTTTCAGACTTATAAAAAATTTATACGTAAATTGCATATATTAAAAAGTTCCTTTCAAAAAATTGCATATATTAAAAAGTACTTCATCCGTCCTAAAACATATCAACCTAATACACGATTTTCAAGTCAAAAATAAAAACCCTAATACACGATTAGACACGACCTAGTCCTACAAATATATGCATGCTTATTTATTGTGTATTTAGTTTTATGTTTGTAGAATACCGGGGAAGAATCAAAGCATGCCAGTAATATAAGCAAACAAACTGGTGAATTCCGCCTCACTTTTGTAAATTTAATTTTTTTTACATATAATTTGTTAGAATTAGTAAACTTAGAAGAAAATAATTTGTATTTGTTCATACTTGCTATTAATTGTTTTACCTTATCATTTTTTCAAGAAAAAGCTATTTTACCTTCTCTAGAAATATAAGATATTAACATGGTTAAGTTACATGTTTTCAACTTTAACCTATCATATATCATACTTAGGGCATGAACTATACTCTGTCACCGTGTAGGAGAGAATGCCACACATAATATTTTAAAATGTGGAGAAAAGAGGTGCGTCTATTAATTGCTAGATAGTTTTAGATAGACAACCTATAGAACCAAACTATTGATTATACTGTAGACAACATATATTATGTGAATCATTTGTATTTTGTGTAGATATGATGTAGTAATATTATATGCGCAACCGCTCTCTGAACTTTTTTTCATGTCCTTATTGGGATATTTCTCCCTAAAATAGTACAGTAGAACAATTGTAAAATTAGTAGAAGAATTTTTTATCACCTTTTATACTTTTTATACTTATTCTTTTTTATGCAAATATTATTATTTGTCAATTGTAAAATTAGTAGAAGAATTTTTTTTATCAAATTTTATACTTTTTATACTTATTCTTTTTATGCAAATATTATTATTAGTTGGCTTATTCTTAATTAATATATTACATATATATATAATTATTATTATTTGTTGGCTTATTCTTATATATATATATATAAGGGTATTTTTTTTATCCGGCCTATACATCCAATCGGATATATGCAGCCTTTTTAAATTAGAAACTTAGCCTATCAACCAGGAAACTTAGCCCTCAAATAACCCAATCTAAAATTCGCTCCTATAAAGATTTGAACTCAGCACCTTAGGTGTTACTTAGGTTACTAAGCTACGTGCCATTTCACAGTTCTTAAGTAATATATAGAATGTTATAACCAAATCTACGTGTGTGTATTGTTTTTTGCTTTATTCTGTATGAGAAATATAAGTTGTATTAGCTACTAAAATTAATTCTCCTACATAGTATATTTTTATTGACTATAAAACAAATACTAATTTAATGCCACGAATAATTGTTTATCAGACAAATATGCTTAGATATATTTTTTGAATTCTAAGCCTACTATAGGCTACGGTGCTCACATGCATGGGTTTATCATTTTTCCTCATGGCACTTGAATGTGACCATGGGAGCTAAGCACATAGCTGACTCGTCCAGCACAGGGAGCTGGGGGAAGAGCGTTTGACCGAGACAACAGGTGATGCGAGACAGTACATGCGCCCGTTTGATGAATGCTTCAAGGACACGTGGCAATTAAGTTAAATGGTAAAAAAGCGGAATAGTTGTATATGGGTTATTCAGACATTGTAAATGGCAAGAGGACAAATATTAGAAAAAAAAAAGTAAAAACTACTATTTGGAGCTAGAATTTAGAACAGTAATAATATTATGCACGATTCAATGGATTACATATATTCAAGTCAAGTGATGTTATCATGTGCACTACAACATCTCACAAATTCAAATTGACCAAATTATCATACGTGGTAAAAGGAAATGAACTACTTACCACTCCAAATAATCGTAGATTCACCTTAAAAATGTGGGCATTCTTCTTCTCTCATCAAATCTCATTACAATCACCACACTCCCCTCAAACAATCAATCTGGTAGAATGCAGCCAACAAACCTCACTCACTCATTCACCGGCAGGCCGGACTGGGGAACGGCGACGACGATAGTGAGATTTAACTGTGAAGGAGGCAGTGATAGCGCGACGCGATTTGACACACTCTTCCCCCTCTCTCTACACCTCCCCACTTCCCCCACCCAGATTGAGATATTTGAGACCCAACCAAAGGATGGGGTTAAACTAATCACCGTGAGTAAGGCGAGGTAATAACATACACCGACGAGCGTTTTATAGCCAGCCACTGGTAACAGCATGAGTTGTTTCAAGATAACCTCGTCTAATCTAATCTCGAGGAAGTTACAGTACCCAAAAATAGGTCTAACTTATGGTTTTTGAGGTGGTTCAGGTGTAAGATCTCGTTAGAGTGTTTACGTAGAAGATTATCCAGACTTACTATTCTTAGCATGCTTGGGATCGAAGAATTGCATGACCATGCATAAGAGTTTATGAGTATCTTCCAAACACATCCTATACTTAGTACTCTATGTAAAAATTATCTGTTGTGGAACCTAAATTACTAGCAAAAAAAAAAACAAGGCCACCGCACGATCAGAGTTGGGCCAGCCTGTCCTGTTTCAAGCACACTTGAAAATTGCGGTAGAGTATCAGAAATTAACACGTGTATGTTGAACTTTTATTCTAAGGGTTGCTGAAATGAAAATTTTTAGGTGTCATATCGGACATTTGACCGGATGTCGGAAGAAGTTTTCGGACACTAATGAAAAAACTAATTTCATAACTCGTCTGGAAATCGCATGATGAATCTTTTGAGCCTAATTAATCCGTCATTAGCACATGTGGGTTATTGTAGTACTTATGACTAATCATGGACTAATTAGGCTCAAAAGATTCGTCTCGCGATTTCCTCCCTAACTGTGCAATTGGTTTTTTTATTTATCTATATTTAATGCTTCATGTATGTGTCCAAAGATTCGATGTGATGTTTTTGGGAAAAAAATTGGAAACTAAACGGGGCCTAAGACATTTTTTCCATGCAAAAAAAACCGCATGGATGCTTTATCCTTTCCCTTTTTGCGATTACACGACAAATGTCGCATACACCATCACATCCATAACACCACACTCACACATATGTAAATACATCCCTAATACATACTTCCTCCGTCTCGAAATAAATCAACTTTTGGAATTCAAACTTGTCCCAAAATAAATCAACTTCTACCTTTTCATCCATTCTTGGTTCCTAAATCAAAAAATTTTATTCCTTCAATACCCCTTACCTACTTATCCACCTCTTTAAATTTGCATTTGGAAGTTAGGAGTTGTTTTTTTATGGGACAGAGGGAGTACTCAAATAGACAGACACCATTGACGTATTTCTAATCTCACTAAAATTACCATTGACGCATCTCTAATCTCACTAAAATTATAGAGAAACCTTACATGCATACGTAATATTCGTAGGCACAGAATAAGTTAAAATGAACTGATTATGAAACAGAAGGTGTACCAGGATTTTATGAAGGTGGTAGTAGTAACATCTCCCATCCGAAAATAAAAAGAAAATCACTATAGTATATGCAGTACTACTAGACGCATACGGAGTACTTTTCGTAAAAAAAAAATTACGAATCTAGACATATACATATTCAAATTCATAGATAAAGTTTATCTTTTTTTTTAGTGTGGAGTAGTAGGACACTCCATACTATTACTCCTACTGTACACGTAGGAGTACTGTTTTTCTAAGAAGGCGTTAAATAAAAAGCTGAGCTCCAGTGCTGACAACACAATGCAGCCAATGCACACAGGGAGACGTCACGGAAGGACAAGGAACAGTAGCATCTCCAGAACTGGCACCATTGGGTAGGGCTTGTCCTGGACTGGAGGAGGCAGCGCGGCAGGGTTGTCAGAGCCGGCCTGGCCTGGCCTGGCCCAGCCCAGGCAGGCCTCCTCACGTGAGAGCGCTGGGCCCACTCGGGCCTGGAAACGTCGCCCCGTCGGCCTCACCCACACCGCGCACGAACGAACGAGTGGGTCCCGCCTTCTGCGGAGAAAGAAAGGAAAAGGTGCCTTTTGGGCTGTGCGGGGTGGAGCCCATCGAGCCACACTTGACACGTCTCTGCGCGTGCGCGTGGGCGCTTACCTTTTGCTTCCTGTGGCACGTGCTAAAGCTAACTCGAAATTTTAAAACTTTGATCCTAAATTATTCTAGGTTTTTTTTCTTCACTTTTGCTAGTAGTACTAGTAGTAGATAATGTAAAAATCGTATCTTAGAGTAATTTTGTTGGTTTGGTTTTTTTTCTGCGCCTAATTGTAGTTGGCTGCAGCAGTTGTGTTTTGTGTGAGCCTGTCATTCACCACATGGAAGGCTGGGTTTAGATGGTGAAAAAGTAGGGTAGTTGGAAGAAAATTGGTAGTTTAAAGAAAAATTGATAGTTTATATGTAGGAAAGTTTTTTACGTGATGTAATGTGATGAAAATTTAGAAATTTAGGAAACTAAACACGGCCAAAGAACAATTCTTGTGTCGTTTAGCTTGCAAGATTCGCAAAACTGTACTACTCGTACTACTCCCCGTTCTAGGACGCATGGTCTTACACCAACGGACACGTTTCTAAGTCAAACCACCAGTACATGGGATTACTGCGGGTAATCGTCATCGTCATGACATCGAAAGGCTTTTAAACAGATTTCAAAAACGAAAACGACCATGTGCCGCAGCAACCACGCCTCCACGTGCGCGCCGCCTCCCCCGCGTACTACACGGCGCCGTCCACGCGCCGTCTCTCGTCTCGCCTCCCTCACGGCGTCCGTCACCGCTCGGCGACAAAACGGCGGGAGAGAGAGCGGTCGAGGCGGAGCCCGCCGCACGCGGGGGGTGGGGCTGAAAAGAGGAGGACGGCCCATGGGCCACCTGTCGCGGCCTGAGCAGAAAAAAAATCGCGCGGCGGAAGAGAAGTGGGAAAAAGAAAAAAAAAACAATAATCGAGCTGTGCGCACGCACGTGGGGGCGGAGCAGCGCGCGGCGTGGCCCCTCGCGTCCCGTCCCGTGATCGCGACGGCGCGGGCGCACCATAGCCATTTTCGTCTTTGTTTTTATTCGTTTTTATCACGGCGGTGGTACTAGCAGTACAAAGGTGACCACGGTATATTTACAAACAAAAAATATTTATATATATATATATAGTGATTTAAAAACGAATACTGAAAAATAAATTTTGATAAAAGGCCTCAAAATCAACACCAAATTTAATATTAAAATTTTAATTTGACTGATAAGCATAAGGGAAAAGTGTTCGTCTATTTGATTCTATCTCGCGCGAAAAGTTGATATACTCGTTGAAGGAACCTTGAACTGGTCCTGGCTTCCCTTTGCTATAATACCAAAAGTTTTCTTATCTCTCTACACACAGTAACACTGAGGATAAAAAAAGGCAGAGAAATCTGATATAAAGAATATACCGGAATACAATAGTGCTAGCGACACGGCACAAAATAGAAAACAAGCATCAGGTTTTAGATAGAGCAGTAATACTGTAATACTAATAACAAAGGAACTTTTTTTCTCGTTTGTATATTTTGTCCGTGGGACCCGCAGGGGATGAGTTGGCCACGTGACGCGCCGGGCGGGGCCGATGGGTCACGTGATCCGCCCCCACCGCGCGCGTGTCGCTCGTCGCGGCGCGTCGCACAATAATCCCGTCCCGTCCCCTCACATGCGCGCACGGATTAGCGGAGAATTATCGCTAATCTAATCCCAACCAGACGCGATTCAGCATCAACCGGAGTAGTACTAGTGTACTGCCTCTTGGCTCTCCGATTGATCTGCGATTAATTTACTGATCCCTAAGATGATCCTACGTACAGACAAGAAAACACATGAGCCGAAAGCTAAGCCTCAGCTCTGCATGGGAATGTCCATCAAGTGGGTAATTAGCCTGTCTATAATTAACCTGCAGACTTTTTCATCCATCCATCCCTCCATTGGAATCTTCCCCTCTGGCATCGTGTCGGCCCAATATTAATCTACTACTACTACTACTAATAATCGGATCTTTTTTTAATTAGGGGGGCAACGCAAAAGACGACGAAGCTGCAGGCCACGCACCGATCGATCAATCGATTTGGAGTGTGTTTAAATTAGTGATAGGGGCTAAGCTAATAGCGCTTTGTTTTTCTTTTCTTTTTTGCCAGCGAGCTCTGTCTGCCTTTAGCGCGTGATGACATGTTGTGGCGACGAGTGTGCTTTGTTCCTCTGCTGGGTTTTTTAGCCACAAGATGAGTAATTAACAAAAGCAGGTGAGATGTCTAGGGTCATGTGGTGATCCATGATTTGTTATGGGCGTCGTAGTCACCTATAGTAACAAGAAGGTCCACAATTTTAGAATAAAAAAATTTAGCGGACCAAAATTTCAGGAAGTTTCAATTGATCTTTTTTTTTCATTTCTTGAGAATTTATAAACATCTTGTTTATGCCTCGGCAGAAAAAAAACATATGCATTTTCGGGTAATGGTCCCAGACCCACAGATAAACTCTAAATTTTGGACATTTTTTTGGTCCAAAATATATGAAACTGATACGCGCTAGTACTGAACTCTCTTTTTTTTTGGTCTAATTGGATGTGATAGAGCAGTGTACTACTACTTCATGTCAGTGATATTGTAGTAACATCTATTGATGTGATTAGTTTAATGATTTGGGATATAATGGAGAAATGGAGGAGAGTGTGTGGCTAAGCTCTCGATCACATGGGAGGATGCTGCAGGCGCATGATGGGGAGGTGGAGATCGATCCAAAGGGAGGGAGGAAGGAGCATGCAAGGCAGTACATGGTACAAAAGGTTTAATTAACATAACATGGCAATGCAGAACAAGCTAACAGGCTGTTTTGTCTGTGACAACGTACGTACACCATACGGGCGGCCTTTGAGCATGTGCTTGCGCTTTGAGTAGGTTAGATTAGATCTTTGCAGAAATGATTAGCTCCAGGAACTTTCTCTGACATGGGGATACTGCTGTCAGAAAGAGTTGTCATTAGTTAATTCATCAAGAGAAAAAGGAGGTGTAAATCGATAATTTGTACCTTCCCATGCATGCATGGCAAGGTATATAGTACAGTGCATTGTTCATCGTTAATCTGGACTATACCGCATTTTCTAGACTCACGAATCGATACTTCGATAGTTAGTAATTTGGATATGGTACGATGCTTGGAACTCATGGAGTCGGTTGATATA